GCCCTGCCCATTGTTTGCCTTTTAGGTTTGGTTCAGATGACAGTAAACTGGCAGCAATGAGTAGAGTTCATATACCGGAAAGATTGGCAGTGTGTACTTCACTCATTTTCTGCATCCATGGGGGAAGCGGCTATATTTTTGGTCCTGAATGCTCCTGAGCTGGACCCCCACCCCTCCCTCCCGAGTTAGATAATAATAATTCATGTATTTGATACAGCAAATTAGAAACTGGATTGACTGTATTTTGAGTGCAAAATGTGGCAGCCAACTGCGCAGAGCAGTTTTTTTGAGGAATTATTACCCCCAGAAAGTGATCTGCCAATTGACTAACATCCAGGATACTACTTACTGCTAGGTAAGCAGAGGTGATTGGGGTAAGGAAACTTGCCTTAGGTTTTGCCCTGCCCAGGAATCGAACCCGGGACCTCTTGCTAGCGAGGCGAGTGCACTAACCACTATGGGACTCTGCACAGGGAGTTGTATGTATCCCCATATTGTGTTGCGCAGTGTCATTGCATAACCAGTGCAGTGTCAGAAACAAGCAACCCCCCCTCCCCCAATAAAAACCCTCCACTTTGTTTTCACATGCCTTTCAGTATCCAAGTACTGCAGTTAAATGTTTATCCCTTTCCTGTTGAGTTTAGAGGTATCTTGTTAAGTGTGCAGATGTTGTATAATTGAGGACCTTGGCGCAATTTTGTAGAATATTCTTCCCTTTTGAAAAGCTCAGGAGTAGAATCTGGGACCCAAAGCAATGTGGCAGTGAGTAAGAATTCGGCTGAAAGGATTTCTGCACAATTGAACCTGCAGAAAATTGTGCAGAGTTTACCTCGGGCCGTCTTGCCTGAGCGAGTGGGTTGAGGTCACCGTAGCAATTCAGCATCCAATGTTGTTTTGGCGGAAAGGAGACGAGAGTTTCAAATGAAATTAGTCTGCTTTTTGTGGTGATAGAATGAGGATTATTTGAGTTCTGGTGCATTCGTAGGAAGCTTAGAACACAGGAGTCCATTCAGCCCATCATATCGGTTCTAAATCACTGTTAGGTTTTGAGTAATATGTTTTGTCCCATTGAATTTTGTACTCTTTGAATAATAACCTGCACTGTTCTGCACCCAGCTTGTGATTTTACATTCCTAATACCCACATCCTCTGAAAACTGAGGGAATCCCTTTTCCCCCAGTGCTGATATCAAACCAACTTTAATGAACACGAGGGCTTATCTTGCAGTGTGTATTTGTATTGCTGTCAGATTGCAAATATTGCAAAAAAACAGAAATATTGGTTCAAGCACTGCTTTGTTTCCCTGTTGCCCAAGCAAGACTATCAAAAAATCTTACAGCACAGAAGGAGGCCATTTGGCCCATCGTGCCTGTGCTGGCTCTTTGAAAGAGCTATCTAATTAGTCCTATTTCCCCTCTCTTTCCTTGTAGCTTTGCAATTTTTTTCTTTTCAAGTATCTATCCAATTCTCTTTTGAAAGCTATTATTGAATCTGTTTCCACTACCCTTTCAGGCAGTGCATTCAATCTCGTAACAACTTACTGCGTTAAAAAAAACTCCTCTGATTCTCTTGCCAATTATCTTGAATCTCTACCCTCAGGTTACTGATCGACACTCTAGTGGAAACGGTTTCTCCTTATTTACTCTTATCAAAACCCCAGATAAATTTGAACACCTCTATTAAATATCCCTTTAACCTTCTCTACTCTTAGGAGAACAATCCCAGCCTCTCTCGTCTCTCCACATAACTGAATTCCTGGTATTGTTCTGGTAAATCTCCTTTGCACTATAATGGACAATAAGGAAATGGCAAATTTGTTAACTTAGTACGTTTTTCTGTTTTTACAGTGGGGAACAGCGGTACAGGGAAAACAAAAAATAAGGCAAGGGGAGGAACTTATTGTATTTACTATAAGTTTTAAGAAAAGTTAATGGAGAAAATAAAGGGGACTTTAGACAAATTAAGGAATCCATTTTCAGGAATTGTGCCTACAGATTAGGAAACTGCAAATGTCACTCCATTATTCTACAACGACAAACTTGCAGTTATATAGGGCCTTCAATGCAGGGTAGCGCTCTAAGAAGAGGAGGGAGAAACCATTGTGGGGAAGCAACTGGAATCTATCACCAGGGGGCTGAGTGAGTGGGCTCTTGGACAGGTATGAGCTGATTAAAAAAGAGTTAGCATGGATTTGTGAAAGGTAGGTCATGTCTGGCTAATCTAGTTGACTTTTTTGAGGAGGTCACTAACACGGAGGATAAGGAAGTGCTTTGGATGCCATCTATATAGACTTTGATAAGGTTCCGCAAGAGATTAAAATTCATGGAATTGGAGTAACCTTGAGAGATGGGTTGGTAATTGGTTGGGAGACAGGAGACAGAGTAGGGATAAAGGGAACATTCTCTGATTGGATGTAACAAGTGTGGTTCCCCAGGGATCTGTACTGGGGCCTCAGCTTTTCACCATATATATTGTATTAATGACTTGGATGAAGAAATTGAGGGCTATAACATAACATGTAGGAGTAGGAGTAGGCCAATCGGCCCTTTGAGCCTGCCCCGCCATTCAATCATGGCTGATCTTCTAATCTAACTCCAGCTAATACCATAACCCTGCCTTATCCCCATATCCCTTAATCCCTTTGCAATAAGAAATTTATCTCAGTCTTGAATATGTTCAAGGACTGAGTGTCAACAGCCCTTTGGGGTAGTGAGTTCCATACATTCACCGCCCTTTGAGTGAAGAAGTTCTTCCTCAACTCAGTGCGAAAGGGCTGGCCTCTGATTTTAAGGTTGTGACCCCTGGTTTTAGTTTCTCCAACCAGGGGAATATATTCTATATACCTGAAGTTTGCAGATGACATTAAGTTGGGAAGCATAGTAAATTGTGTTGATTGGAGCATGGAGTTACAAAGGAATATATACCGATTAAGCGAGTGGGCAGAACTATGACAATGGTGAGAGAATAGGAGCTGTGAAGGAGCAGCGGAGCAGTGTGAGTGAGCCTCATCATTTTCATAGCAGATAATGATTCGTCACCATGTTTGGTGCAACATCTTCTGTAACATGGATGAAGTGAGGAGGAAATTACTGGATATTGTTACACTCGACTCATCTGCAACAGAAAATAAAAATTCATTGTTATTTTAAAAAGGGGCATATTTTAGCCAGTCCCCCAACCTCTTGAACCAGTTTCTGAACTTCTGGCTTTGTTGCTGACTTGTTTCCATATTTGCTGAGTGCAGCTGTTAAAACAGTAACTGGGAGGTGCACGAGTGCCACACATTCACTCTTTGCCTTGGGCGGATTGCAATATTTCTCCTTTGCTTATCCATTTTTTCCACAAGCATTGTCCAATAATAGGCCAAATCAGAGGTAATTCAGTACGACTGTTCCTCAGCCTTTTTTTCAAAAAGGGAGGGATTTGAGATTGGCCGTGTCCTTGGAGGCCATTTGATAATGACAACTATAATCCTTGCATTTGATTTATCAGGTCATTGACATGTCTCAAAGCGCTTCACAGAATACACTGTCGATTGACAGTATTTGGGGTGAAACACCGGCAGCCAATTGTTCACAGTAGTGTCCCACAAAAACAGTTGTGGATTGTGTGACCACTGGATTGGGATGGAGGGAGGGATTATTAATACCAGAAAGCGTTCCGCCAATCGACTAACAACCAGGTTTCTACTTACTGCTAGGGAAACAGGTGTGTGGAGTAAGTAAACTTATCTAAGCTTTTAGCTGCCCGGGACTCGAATCCGGGTCCTCTTGCTTGCGAGGCGAGCGTGCTAACCAATAAGTTATGGGACTCCCTTTCAGGTGCCTTTGTAGACCAATCTTAGAGAGACCGATTTTATCACAAATGTGACAGACGAGAGATGACCCAGTCAATCGTGTGGTCACAGCAGACTGACGCTCCTTCCCCTATCTACGTTTCTCTTCTTCCTTGGCAATCCTGTATTGTTCAACATCGCTAACTGCTTGCTGACATACGAATCGCCACATTTTGACATCCGTGGAGGTTTCCTCCCATGTATTAGTGTCAATATCACATTTATTAAAGTTGAATTTCAAAGAATCTTTTTATTTTTTTTCAGAAAAAGAGATATAACCATTGTTCACTACAGTGAAGTTGTTTGAAAAATTGTCCACACTTAGGGAATAGTTGTGTTATGGGCAGGATTTTAAGCATTTAAGTTCCCCTGTTTATTGTGGGTGATCTAAATGCCGAGTTATTCCTAAATGTTGAAGATCCAATAATTCCCATTCACATGGTCTTGGAACCATAGCCCATTGTATCTGCTAGTTCTCTCTCCCCGAAACTATAGGCTACTCGAGAGGCAGTTATGGGCTCAGTATATGTACAATCAAAGTTTACTTCAAGGATGAAGTCTGCTGATTTCTCCACCGCAGCTCACTCGGGAGGGGAGTGAGCACTAGCAGGCACAATAGGGATAGGGCAGGGAATGGGATTAGAGTAGAGAGCTCCAGTAGGAAGCGAGCATTATAAGGCTTCAGTTCCCACGTGGAAACTCAAGGTTATCATGCATATTTTGACGTCTATACATCATTCCACTGAGCTTGTGTTTTCCAATTTTCATCGGATCACCTGAAGCCATTTCCTTGTTTTTCTCCGGTCCGATGGAATTTTGCCAGTAAAGAGATGAGTTATTTGGAGATTCACACAAGGATGACGGCTGAGAGCACTTCACAGGATATACTATAAAGTGGATTGACTGTATTTTGTGGATGAAATGTGCCATTTATTTTATTACTTAGTTATTTGTTTTTATTATTTCGTTATTTTTATTTATTTTATTATTTAGTAGGTAATTTATTACAATTTCATATTCACGCGCAAGAGATTCTCCTCCCAACCCTCTTTCGCCTCTTCACAAAACCCATGTTACTTTTGACTCATCTGAGAGGCTGAGTTGCATTGTTTTGTGTCCTCGTTCAACTGCCAGTGGTTTACTGTTTGGCCTCTCTGTTTTCCAGTATAAGGATAAAGAGGAAGTCGTCTTATGGATGAACACGGTTGGGCCATACCATAACCGCCAGGAAACATACAAGTATTTCTCGCTGCCGTTCTGTGCAGGACAGAAGAAGACGATCAACCATTACCATGAAACACTGGGAGAAGCTCTGCAAGGCGTCGAGCTGGAGTTCAGTGGATTAGACATCAAATTTAAAGGTCTTGTTTGTTTTATTAATAATAATCCTTGTATTTTGTACAGTGTCATGTCGGGAGGATGTCCCACAACGTTTCAAAGGATATACTGTAAAGTCAAGTGACTGTATGTGGGCAAACATGCACAGCAATGGCCCACAAACAACATTAAGTGAATGAGCGATTTTAACTGGGGGATTGTTGGCCAGAACGTTTCTCTCTTTGAGTAGTGCCATGGGATCTTTAATGTCCACCTCAACAGGCACATGGGATCTCGGTTTACCGTCTCATTCAAAGGATGGCACCTCCAACAATGCGACACGCCGAGCAGTGCGTTGGAGTGTCAACTTAGACTATGTGATTCCAAGTTCTGATGCGGGGCTTGAACCCACAAAACCTTCTAACCCAGGATGAGAGTGTGGTGAGAGATGAACCCATTGAGCCAGGCTGGCGCATTGTGTATGGCTGCTGTTGAACTGGGTATCCATTTCCCTTTGAACAGACACAAATACAGCACGCAACGAGAAATTATTTTAATACTGTGTGTATGATTGAGAATTCCTGGCCTTCTCTGTGTTTGCCATCCAGTCTTAGAATATTTTTAGTTGCTTGCAAGACTTGTATACTGGAAAGCTTTCCTCTGAGATGTCTGGAAATTCATTATCGGATCAATAATAATAATACTTGCATTTGATATAGCGTCTTATCATGTTGTTGAGATTTCTCAAAGCACTTCACAGAATATATTGTAAAGTGAATTGATTGTGTATTTTGTGGGTGAAACACGGCAGCCAATTGCACACAGCAGTGTCTCTCAAACAGTCATGGATTGAGTGACCAATTTTTTAAAAAAAGACTAAAGGTGCAGAGCACACATGAGATGTGTTCATGTCACATTGTTAGAAGAAGCACAACAGTTTACATTTATATATTATATATATAGCACCCTTCAGGTGGGACAGCATCTCAGAGCATTTAACAATATTAGAGCTTGACGTGGAGCCTAGGAGAAAGGTAAGGTGACCCTAGGCATGGTTGAAGAGGAAAGTCTTCTGCTGCGATCTGAAGACTGGTAAATGAGGGTCAAGGTGGAGGGGATTGAGGATTGAGGGTCGGGGTGTGGAATTTGAACCACGGCCGTCATTGACAGAGAGGAGGGGTCGAGGGACAGGTAGAAGTCCCGAGCGAAGAGGGCTGGTAGAGGAGTGAGATGTGACCAGATCGGAGAGGTAGGGAGGTTGCAGGAAGTGATCTGTAGGTGACTGTGAAGATCTTGAAATCTATTTAAAATGTGTCATCTTCTGTTCCACCTCTTATCATGATCATATCAGGACAACTTTTTTTTGGGTCCATTTTTATCATCATAATAATAATAATCCTTGCATTTGATATAGCGCCTTATCATGTCGTTGACACACTCAAAATGTTTCACAGAATATATTGCAAAGTGAATTGACTGTATATTTTATGGATGAAACGCGGCAGCCAATTGCGCACAGCGGTGTCCCACAACCAGTTGTTTAATTAAATTTAATTTAGTTAAACATGTTCTGGTAATTTATTGATGTTCCTTGATAAATTAATGCTCTTTAATCCGCTCTGTATAGCCATTACTTGGTTAAAGGGAGGTTGCATTCTCCCTTTAGGCATTGTAAATCTTTATTTTTCCCCTTAATCTATTTGCCCATTGATCCATTTTGGATTGTTTTCAGTTCATTTTCCCTGAGCTGCGCTTGGATATGTCCTTGTCCCACACACTTAGCCTAATAGGTTTGAAGAACGCTGTTGATCCCCTGTGTTAAATTTGAAACAAAATGCGTTTATGAAGGTCCACTTTTTTCCATGTTTACCATATACATACGCTCACATCTGTACCCAACACTTAACATGCTAATCAAGGGCTCTTAGCTCTGTGCTTAAAAGTAGTTAATTTCTTCCAAAGTTGACTAGGAAGCAGTGATGATAGTCCATAGGATTAAATGTTCTTGCGAAACACAAGAGCTGACAAGTGAGGCCTTTGAGGGCCTGCAGTGAACTCAGAAGAGCCCATGTTTGAGGAATAGAATCAGTTTGACATCTGTATTATCCCACTGAAGAAGAAATGTGGAGAATGATTTTTACAGGCTGCCCACTGGGGTTTGCTTGGTGTGAATAGGTGTGAGGTTGGAGTTCGCGTTTTGCCCACAAAATATACAGTCACTTTACAATATATTTTATGAAGCGCTTTGAAATGTCTTGAGGACGTCTATATCAAATGCAAGGGTTATTATTTGTATTTATTCACTGTAATCTGGATTGCACGTATTGAGTAAAGGCAACATCTGATCTGTTGTCATTGACAAATCCAGATTAAGATCAAGGATTAACAGCAAGGCTAAAAAGAGCAAGGAAGTGATTGATTTAAGAAATAGCGAATGGGTGAAGTCAATCTTAGATTTAACTGCCTGTGGGACTCTGTTGTGCGCAATTGGCTGTCGTGTTTCGCCCCCAAAATACGGTCAATTCACTTTACTATAGCTTCCTGTAAAGCTCTTTAAATCATCTCAATGATGTGATGAGGCTCTATATCAAATTCAAGGATTATTATATAAATTGCTGAAAAATATCTAGTTTGAAGTTCATGTTCACAAGGACAATAGCAAGATTGTGTCTCAATGTATTCTCTTGTACAGATGATGTCATGCAAAGTACTTACTGTGAAGTTGAGCTGGATAAACAGAAGAGGGACGCCTTCGTTTATGCCATCAAGAATCACTACTGGTACCAGATGTACATTGATGACTTGCCAATCTGGGGTAAGTTCAACAAAGCATGTTCCCTTGCAGGGCAGAGGGGCAGCTTGAGGTCTACTTCCTTCTGCAGCAGATTCTGTGGGAGCTGTGGTCTGTACCGGGCATTCAGTATGCTGTGGTTTCGGTATTGGTGTAATTGCAAAAAGAACATACAAATTGCTAGACGAAAGAAGACCAAGGTCCATCCAGTTTGCCTTCCACCATCCTCGTAGTCAGGGCACATGTTATACCCCAAACTATATACTGTATCCCGAGATATTTTTTCCTAACAGAAATTCTTTCTTGAAAGAATCAGTACTTTCTGCTTCCACCGTCTCCCTAGGGAGCCTATTCCATATGTTTACTACATGCTCACTGAAATAACATTTACACAGATTTGTTTTGAATTTACCCCTCTTAAATCCCAGGCCATGTCCTCTGGTTGAAGTGTTCAGTACAAAATAAAAACAGCTTATCACGATCTACCTTATCTAGCCCCTTTAGCATCTTTAAAGACCACAATCATACTCTAGGGCACGGGTTACATTTGTGACCTCTAAAAACATTGCCTAGTTTAGTTTATGAAAAACTTGTGTACTTTGGAAAGAAGCTGAATGCACCTGTTAAACCACATGGTGCTAAAACGTGTGCTCAGCCTATTTTATTATTTTGTATATTTCAAATGTATTGAGTCAGGCATAGAGTGACTAAATACCGGGTTCCTACTTACTGTTCGGGAAACAGAGGTGCATGGGATAAGGAAAGTTACCTAAGGTTTTTCCCTCCCAGAAATTGAACCCGGGTCCTCTTGCTTGTGAGGTGAGTGCACTAACCACTACACTACAGGAGAGCTGTAGTTGTGGTATCCGGCTGGTGAGCAGCCCTGTAGTTGTGAGGACTATCGTATTTTCATTGGTCAACCCAGTGTAAACGTTCTGGTGCTGCCAATAGTGAATTTACAAGAAACGATGGTGGCTTTCCCGAGCTGTTTGCTGTACTAATCTTCCTCGCTGCATGCAGGCATTGTAGGTGAAGCCGATGAGAACGGCGAGGATCATTTCCTCTGGACCTACAAGAAACTCGAGATCGGCTACAATGGCAACCGTATCGTGGATGTGAACCTGACCAGCGAGGGCAAAGTCAAGCTGGTGCCCAACACAAAGATTGCAATGTCCTACTCTGTAAGTCCTCTGCCAGCAAAAAAACAAACCATCCGACTCTCTCAACTCGATGATGGAGCTGTTACATTTCGTTTTCCATTTTCACCATGATTTCATATCAATTATTCAGTGGCATAAAGTGAGAACGCAGTAATGCTGCATGTCTGATTGCAAACGATTTAAATGTCCACTTTACCTAGTTGGTTATTCATAATGTTAATCTTACCGTTGATAACATAGTATGAAAGCAGCTATGTTGTGTCAGCCTGACACAGTGTTAGCGCTCTTGCCTTCGAGGTCAGAAGGTTGGAGGTTCAAGCCCCCAAGTCAGGTCTTGGAATCACATAATCTGAACTGACACTCCAATGCAGTGCTGGGGATGTGTTGCATTGTTGGAGGTGCTGTCCTTTGGATGAGACATTAAATCAAGATCCTGTCTGTCTGTTTAAGATGTTAAAGATTCCAGGGCACTATTCGTAAAGAGAAGGGAATTTCTCTCCCAATGTCCTGGCCAACAATCCCCCAAATAAAAGGCTTAGATCCTTCGGTTTAATTGGTCAGTTCATGGGTGATTGTGGTACTTTGTTGCTGTGTGCAAAATTGTTTCTGTGTTCGCTAGACTTGATAGTAAATTGCTATTAAATGTTTTGCAGCATTTCAGTGTTGTAAGTGCTATAAAAATGCAAGTCCTTTAATATAATAATAATCCTTGCATTTGATATAGCGCTTTTCACGTCTTCTCGACATCTCAAAGCACTTCACAGAATATGCTGTAAAGTGAATTGACTGTATATTTTATGGTTGAAATGTAGCAGCCAATTATGCACAGCAGTGTCCCACAAACAGTCGTGGATTGAAAATGACCAATTTATTATTGGTTTGTTTTTGGAGGGATTATTATTCGTCCTTTTGGCAAGCAAAGGTCCTGCCCAGGTTGGATGCAGAGAGCTGTTGTGTCTTTTGACTTCAGGAGAACATTCTTGAAGTGCTTCACAGAATTTGCTATGTTGTGTAGTGAATGTGTATTTTGTAAGTTAACCAACCAGCTCACTTACATGCAGAGCAACATCCCACAAACATGCAGTGAATGACTGATTTTGTCTGGTGGTTGGTGGCTGCCGTGTTCGCCCATGGTCACCAGGAAAAGCTCCCTTTTCTTTCCAAACACATGTGGGGTCCTTAACATCCACAAAACACACAGTACATTTCTGTGAAGCGTTCTGAGACATCCTCCTGACGTGAAAGGTGCTGTACCAAAAGTAAGGGTTATTATTTCTTTCATCCATGTAGTTCCCAATAAGCTTGATTGATTTCTGCACAACACTGGGTAACGTTCCAATCATTTCCTGTTTCTAGGTGAAGTGGAAGAAATCGGATGTGAAGTTTGAAGACCGGTTTGATAAGTACCTCGATCCGTCCTTTTTCCAGCACAGAGTAAGTTGTTTTCAGAAATACTTTGTTTTAGGAAAGTCTTAAATAGGTATTCAGTTGCTAAATTTCCCCCCTTATGACCCCCCCGCACCCCTCACCCCCGAATATTAAAGGCGCTAATCAAACGTAATTTGTTCATGTTGGTGTCTAGTTGGGGACAGGGTCTGGGTGGGGGTGCGTATGTATGAATTTTATTTCCCCACATCTGGTTGTCAGTTATGCACCATAACTGGAAAACTATTAGAAAGTTAACCACATATCCTCAGTAGATGGAGCCAGTCTGATTACAAAATGAAGGTTAGGCCAGATGGCTGCTGTATTACTGAAGCCGCCCACAGGTTAACAGAAGCAAGCTTTGGAACGCTTGAGGAGAATTTTCAGTAAGGTCCATGCAACTCTCACCCTCTCCGCTCTTACTTCCATCTGTAGTAAAGTTACTGATGAATGAAAGATTGCAGGGTAATGGCTTTAGGGTGGTTGAGTCTGTTTCTGTTTCTGTTGCAGTTCAGCAAAATTCCAAATAATTCCTCCCATTTGTCACCCATAGATTCACTGGTTTTCAATCTTCAATTCCTTCATGATGGTGATATTCCTAGTCGGACTGGTCTCCATGATCCTGATGCGCACTCTGCGTAAGGATTATGCTCGATATAGCAAGGAAGAGGAAATGGATGATATGGTAAGTGGCCCGGCTTTTAATTGGACACAGACATGGTGTTGGTGATCTGAAAGAGAACTTCTGTTATCCACTTGTTGCTTGCAAAACTTGCAAATAATGTGGAAACACAATCAAACCTGTGGGGCACAGCTTATCCCTGTACACTGCATGTCAGTACATGGAGTCCCGTAGCATAGTTGGTTAGTGTGCTCACCTTGCAAGCGAGAAGACCTGGGTTCGATTCTCAGGCAGGGCGAAATGTTAGGCAAGTTTCCTTACTCTTCGCCCATCTCTTTAACTAACAGTAAGTAGGAACCCAGTTGTCAACTCGCTTTCTAGGGGTAATAATCTCTCCAAAAATGTGTCACTCAATCCACGACTGTTTGTGGGACACCGCTTTGTGCAATTGGTTGCTGCGTTTCGCCCACAAAATACGTGATCATTCTACTTTACAATATATCCTTTGAAATGCTTTGAAATGTCTCAGCGATGTGATATGGTGCTAAGCATTATTATTATTATCACCCAGAAGGTAATTTTAATGCCATTTTGCGAATGACCAAGTGAAAAGATTGCTTCTCTTGCTTGTGTTTAAGTTGCAGTCGGTGAGCTTTATGACCTGGCTCTGGGGATACTTCCTACGATCCTGAGAGTACAACTAAGTGTTGTGTCTAAAACTGGCCTTGCTTTGTCATGTGAGATCCCGATGCTGAAATTCCACCCAGGGGCGGACACTTCCTGTCTGTAGCTTTGGTTATCCCTGTCGCGGGTCCAGTAGTGCTCACAATAGAGCTAGTGTGTCTGTCAATCAAATTTATTTATTCAGTGATGGAACAGTAGGTTCGGAGTTGCTAACGTTTTATAGGACTTTTCCTTAAAGGAACTCTCTCGGACTTGGTGTAGTGCTGATCACGGGCGGTGGGATGTGAGCTTACGTCTGGTTTCCCTTCTCTACCCAGCCACCCCCCCCCCCACCAAACTCAAGTCAAATCCTGACTCATTCCATGGGCCAATGCCAAGCAGAGGCACTTCCCCACAGGAAGGGGGAGGAAGGAAGCAAAACCTAGCACTGATTGTTGTATTAAAGCTGCATATCTTGAGGTTTAGAAGCTCTTCTGTGATTTGCTGTATCAGACTGCTTAATAGTTTTTCCTTCTTCCTCTCAGTGGCCAGACAAGTAGGAATAGTGCTGAATCCTAGTTATGATTTTGCACAATAATCATTGCATTTGATCTAACACCTTATCATGAGTTCGAGACGTCTCAAAGCACTTTGCAGGATGTACTATTAAGTGAATTGACTGTATACTTTATGGACGAAACGCAGCAGCCAATTGGGCACAACAGTGCTCCACAAACAGTCATTGATTGAAGTCACCAATTCATTATTTTTTTTTGAAGGAATTATTACTTCCAGAAAAGCAATCCGCCAATCGACTAACAACCAGGTTTCTACTTACTGCTAAGTAAACAGGCATGTGGAGTAAGGAAACTTGCCTAACATTTTGCCCTTGCCGGGAATTGAACCCAGGTCTCTCACTTGCGAGGTGAATGCTCTAACCACTGAGCTACTGGACTCCACCATTACTGGAGGCCAAGAAATTGTGCAGTGGACACCAGGTTAATGTGGACTAAGCCACACATCTCCCCTCCCTTCAAAACGCCCATCAACACTCTTGCTATACAAAAGCAAGGAAGTGGTGTTTCAGTTGTACTGTGGAGTACTGTGTTCAGTTTTGGGCAACGCACTTCAGGAAGGATATATTGGTTTTGGGAGTCCTCAAAGTCCTGTCACCCTCCCTGTTACAAAACAGATATGAGATGACGGAGGAGCTGAAACATTTCGCCTCCTCACTCCATCGTGCTACAGAAGATGTCACTGAACATGATGATCATTATCATGAAAATGATGGCACTCACTCACACTCTTCCTCTGGACTTCTATGTAAGGTTAAACACTTGTACAGAATACAATTAAGTATTTCTAAATACAATTATCATCATTCTTTCACATGTTTCAATTATTGGTCAGTGTACTGTAGAGGAAAAACATGGGTTAACAAAACTGTGTGGACACCCCATACTTTTCTACTTCCATCTTTGTCTCAAGGACCCACTACTACCCAGACCTTGTCCTCGTGGCACAATGAGTAACGTTTCACTGTTACAGTTTGTTCGCCTAATACAGGGTGACTCAATGGGGCCTGTGTGACGGAAGGGGGAGAGACTTATGTCTTGAAACAACAGTTGCACTTGTATAGTGCCTTTTCATGTGGGATAGTATCTTAATTATCTCTGAAATATATGACTCATAGAAATGATAGTACATCAGTACACAGGTGCTTAAAAAAATCCACGACACAATGGGAGTAATAAAAATCACTTAATCCACGACTGTTTATGGGACATTACTCTGCGCAATTGGCTGCCGTGTTTCGCCCACAAAATACACAGCCAATCCATTTTGTGGTACATTCTGTGAAGCGCTTTTGAGGTGTCTCAACGGCATGATAAGGCACTCTATCCAATGCAAATACAAAGGTTATTAATAATTGGAGGGACGTCCTCCTCCCAGCTTTGTGTTTGCTGCAGGACCAAAGACGGGCAGAACCTGCTTGGCTATAAACCCATGTTAACATTGTGTTTCTACAGGACCGAGATCTGGGGGATGAATACGGATGGAAGCAGGTTCACGGGGATGTGTTCAGACCCTCCAGCCACCCCTTGATGTTTTCATCGATGATCGGGTCTGGCTGCCAAATTTTCTTTGTCTCCCTCATTGTTATTATTGTGGCAATGATCGAGGACTTGTACACAGAGTGAGTATGGATTTTACAATCTTGCCCTTTGATGTTGGGGTGGTCTTAAATACAGTAACACTCACAAATCGGCCCCCTACCCTCCATTACTCCTGCATTTACCAGCTGTGAATCGCGGGAAACATAGTCTTGACCCGTCACCGCATGCGCTACAGTGACAATCTACCACATGTGCACTTACCGACTGTATTGAATTACGTATGCTCAGTGTAGATTATTGATGAAATCAAATTTTATACAACTTATACAGTTTGCCTGCAATTCGCTCTTCGCGTAAGCCGTGTTAAATGTTATGGTCCTGACTTGTGAGCTTTACTGTACTGTTTTTGTGAGCACTTAGCAAGTTGTGTGCTTGTGTGGCTACAGCAGTTATCTCTTCAGTCATTAAGAGTATCTGAGATGTCCAACTCAATGGTGTTGATCTTCTACGCCCCCAGTGGGTAAGAGATGTGAGACTTGCCTGATGGCTTTGCTGGTAAAGGCATTGTTACTGAAGCCCAGAGACTGGAAAAGGCCGGTTCTTCACTTGGTCTATGCTGAGTTAGTTCATCTCAGCCAGGCGCAGAGATTGGAGCTCCAGTGTCCCTGGGCAAATCAGCCAGGGTTTCTGGTCCTCATTGTAACCCAGTAACTACCTCATCTCTACTGGAGAGTTGTGTGTGTGTGTGTGTGTGTGTGTGTGTGTGTGTGTGTGTGACCCTCTCCCTCGCTCTCTCTCTCTCGTTTACAATGCAGTGTTCTGCTCGTGCCTCTGGGGGTGGAGGGCAGAGCAGGTCTACTGGTGTCGGAGCTTTGGCAATTTGTGTGGAGTTGAGGATATTGCCAGCCTCAGTGTTTTTTTTAGAAAAGCTCTTAGGCAAGCTTTTGCTAAGCATCAGATGACAAAATGAATAATTGAATGTGTTTGAGATCAGCTGATGGCAAAGTCCCAGAACGTTGTTATTCTCACTCTGCCTGTTCACTGGCCGCTTGCTGAGCCCATGTGCCAAAACCTCCCAGCTCCTGGCTGCTGTGGGCAGGCGGTCGGTCACCTATTTCCAACTTGCTCTGTCACCCTGAACTGGCAGCACTGCTGTTATAATAATAATCCTTGCATTTGATATAGCGCCTTATCACGTCTTTGAAATGTCTCAAAGCGTATCACACTCATATATAGAGTCCTGTAGCTCAGTGGATGGAGCATTCGCCTCAGAGAGCCTTCGAGAGACCTGGGTTCAATTCCCCCGGCAGGGCAAAACCTTGGGCAAGTTTTCTTATTCCATATGCCTCATAATAATCCATCAAGAAAATAAATAATGATAATTTGGTCACTCAATCCACGACTGTTTGTGGGACACTGCAGTGCGCAATTGGCTGCTGCTGCGTTTCGCCCACAAATATACAGTCAATTCACTTAACAGTATATTCTGTGAAGCGTTTTGAGAAGTCTAGAAAAAGCGCCATATCAAATGTAAGGGATAAGGCATTGTATTGTAAAGTGAATTGACTTTATTTTTGGTGCGAATGCAGTAGCCAATTGCGCACAGCAATGTCCCACAAACAGTGGTTTGAGTGACCAAATGTTTTTTTTTTTTTTTGGAGGGATTATTACTCCCGGAAAGTGATTTGCCAATCGCCTGCAACGGGGTTCCTACTTACTGCTGGAGGTTGGGGACAGGGGTCTGGGATGGGGAACAACAATAACCTGCTCTTTACGAGCAGTTGCGCTTCCGGATATAAGTGGATTGATGTGTTTGGTGTGCGAAACGCAGCAGCCAATTGCACACCATTGACAAATGGCAATGCTGTGTTCCACAAACAGTTGTAGATTGAGTGACCACATTTTTGGGGGGATGGATTATTACCCCTGGAAAGTGATCCGCCAATTGACTAACAACTAGCTTCCTACTTACTGTGGAGTCCTGTAGCTCAGTGGTTAGAGCACTCGCTTTGCAAGTGAGAGACCTGAGTTCAATTCCAGGCAGAGGGCGAAACCTTGGGCAAGTTTCCTTACTCCACACAGAGCCTAATGATAATCCCTACAAAACCAAAAACAATAATTAAATTGGTCATTTTCAATTTACGACTGTTTGTGGGACATTGCTGTGCGCAATTGGCTGCCGCGTTCACCCACAAATATACAGTCAATTCACTTTACAGTGTGTTCTGTGAAGCGCTTTGGGATGTCCTCCTGACATGAAAAGCGCTATATCAAATGCAAGGATTATTATTATTATTATGATTATTATTACTGCTAAGCCAAACAGCGGCGCGTGGAGTAGGGAAAGTTGCCTACGGTTTCTGCCCGCCCGGGATTCAAACCCGGGTCCTCTCGCTTGCGAGGCGAGCGCACGAGCCGCTGTGCTGTTGGCAGGGAGACGGTCAGATTATTGCTGCCGGTTTGTGTTTGCGGGAGGGACGGAGCAATCCCGTGACAGGTTTAACAGGACAATGTTTAGGTGTGACCGGGCTCCAGCAGAGGGCAGTGTTAGATTGCACGGTGGACACAAGCCAAATTCAGTTAAGCAGCAGCACTTCTTGGACTGTACCTAACTTGTTGCTTAATGCCAGTAGACAGCTGATTGCGAGCCAAAACCCCAGTGTTTTTTTTTTTTTTTTTCCCCCTCAGTTTGACTGATTGTGTCTCAGGTTGGCTTTAAATGAACCGAGTTTGCAGCTTTAAAACTCATTGTTGAATGCTGTAGCCGTTTTCTGTGCCGATCGCAGATGCACTGATGCGATTAACTTCTGCTGGGTAACAGTCCCCATGCTCAGGGATTCCCATGCACTGCAATGCCAGTCAGTTTATAACAGCGCCCTACGTTGCTGATCAGCACTGTGCTACCTTGGCAGGCATGCAGCTGAGGGAAAACCTGAGCCACTTATTGCACAATGGTTTTTGGTTTTCTTTATCGCAGAACAGCGTGCAACAGGGTAAGGTACAGCTTACCTTACGTAAACTCTCACCACACGTCATTAGGAGTATCAATCTCTCAATAAAAAAAAACAAAAGACTTGAGTCCGTCACTAAGCTGAACCGCTGTTGAAGACTTTTCGCCCACAAAATACTTAATTCACTTTACAGTATATTCTGTACTGAGCTTTGAGACATCTCGATGATGTGATGAGGCACAATATCAAATGCAAGGATTATTATTATTATTCCATGCAGAATTAATTGCTATCAACATCTCCGTTATTGTAGACTACCAGGGTGGGAGTAGGCAAAATAGATGAACCTTGGTCTTTTTTCGTCCAGCAATTCCTATGTTCTATGTAATAATAATTCGGTCACTCAATCTACAACTATTTGTGGAACACTGCTGTGTGCAATTTGCTGCCACGTATCGTCCACAAAATATACAGTCAATTCACTTTACAGTATCTTCTGTGAAGCACTTTGAGACGTCTCAACGACAGTGATAATAAGGTGCTTTATATCGAATGCAGTCACTGCACCAGATAGCTTTTCCCCACCATGCGCTCTGAGATATTTCAATGTGATCAGGTTCTGGACAAATTTAAGTATTGTGGTACCTGCAGAGAGTTAGTTCTGCGTGGCTAAAAAAATGGGGAAGCCCGAGATGGATAGTTTAACTCTGGTAATTGTCACTGTCACGGCCAGTGCAGGCTCTACCTGCTGAAAGTATGATGGATTGTTTTTTTTAAACCATGTCGAAATTGCTAAAGATCTCAGCATTACAGCTGTGGAAAGCCGGAAGGCTGGAATTACTGGTGTGGAATTCCGTGACTCAGGCTGCAAATATTCCTGCCATTTTTCTCCCCTCTCCCCCCCCACCCCCCTTCTCTCTCTCTGCTGAAGGCCTCCAAATCCTTTTCTACTTCAAATGTGCAACAGTTCCACTGATCCTTCAGCACCTCACCCAAGTGGCCTTTAGTCATGTATGGACCTTGAGTGTTTTGACCATGGCGGTACCATAGATCAATCCTTTATCCCTTACTCCCCCCACCAACACACACGTATACACACACATGCGCAGCAATAAGGATTGCTGGATGGTAATTATGAGCGGCTACCTTTTGACTTCCTAACCAGCAGTTCTGAGCCCAATTAACGTCTTGACTGCCCCATCTGAGGTCAGCAACCCAGAACATCCCTCTGCATTATTGGAAAAAGGGAGTTTCCTGTGTCCTGGCCAACCATCCCCCAAATAAAATTGGCCTTCGTGGCTATTTGTGGGACGTCGCTCAGTGCAAATTGGTTACTGCATTCACCTACAAAACACACAGTCCTTTAATGATAATCCTTGCATTTGTTATAATGCTTTTCACATCTTCTAGGCATCTCAAAGCACTTCACAAAATATACTGTAAAGTGAATCGACTGTATATTTTGTGGGCGAAACGTGGCAGCCAATTGCGCACAGCAGCATTCCACAAACAGTCGTGGATTGAGTGACCAAATTATTATTGGGGTTTTTTCTTGAGGGATTATTATGAGGCATGTGGAGTAAGGAAACTTGCCCAAGGTTTTGCCCTGCCGGAAATCAAACCCAGGTCACTCACTTGCGAGGCGAATGGTCTATAACCACTGAGCTACAGGACTCCTTCTTCATGCGGGGCAGTGCCTGAATGCTTTAAGAGCCGTACACTGCACTTTGCCCTACATAATCTTGTGAAGCGCTTCAAGACGTCCTCCTGATGTGAAACCATCAGGTATTACAAATTACAAAGGATGCCCTGTAATTCAGTATGATTAACAGGAAGGGACTGTGTTGCTAAATTCTAGCCTAGGGCGTGATCTGATGCAGTGTTGCACAACCAGAGGCCAGTTGCCCTGGTCAGTAGTGAACACTAGGTTAATTTAAAAAAAAAAGCAATTTCCAATGGGAGCTCTTTAATAAGCAGTCAGGCACTACCCCACATGAAGAACGCTGTATAAATACAAGTAGTTGTTGTTTCCGGGGCTAGAATAGGTAACAAATCCTTGGTCGGCTATATATTCACCCTCTGGCTGAAATCTTTAACTGTGGTAATGGCCAGCAACACAGTGTCAAATG